GCTCGCATCGTTTCTCCGCGTGTCGTAATTGTCGGTGCGATCGGCGCACATACCGGATCGCGCACGACGTGCGCCCATGATCGTCGTGTCGGTGCGACGTTAGACGTGCGTATCGTGCGTGTGTCTGCCGGTGGCAACGCGACGCCGTGCGTGCCTACCTCTACATTCATTCTCGCGCATCGTCTTCGACAGTGTGTATGTGCGTGTGCGCCGCGTGCATGCGTGTGTGCGATACGTAGATTCGCCGCCACTGTTGGCGTGCGGCGTGAAAAAGTGCCAGGGCACACCGGTCGTCTCTTAATACGGCGCTGATTTACTATTTGTGCGGTATTTGTGAAATTGCGATCACGCGCGCGCGCGACAGCGGTACATCGTTGTGCACGCATCGGCCGGCGGTGACACAAAAAAAAATATATTTTATATTAAAATATAAAAATTATAATAATATATATATGTAATTGCAAAATAAATTTTAATACAATATCAATCTAAGTCTATCTAATCAATCTGTTGTTTTTTTGACGATTTAAGCCATATTTCTTAATTTTCTTTACAATCTAATTAAAATGTTATTATAAATATAAATTACAATTAACTTTTTATTTCTAGGATTACACATATTTGACGTTGCGCCACAATGGGCGCTATCAAACAATTTGCAGTGGGTTGATCTGCAAGCATTGGTAGCACATAATACTGTGCAGGATATATATGATTTACATAACAAAGGGAAAGATATCACGGAAGCTAGTAATCTAAGTTCAATACATTCTACAAAGTTATCACAAACGGCAGGACACAATGATAGGATAGTGAATTCTAATGTACTAATTAGTACGGTTAATGAATCATTATCCAGACAAACGAGAAAATTGCAGAAGGAACAAAACGATAGGCTGGATAACTGCCAGAAGGATTTTGGTGTAGAGACAGAACTTGAATTATTAGATATCAATAAAACGACGAAATCCATATATTCGTTCACAAAAAATCAAACCAAAATTTTGCCTGAATCGCGGAAAGAAATTTATTATGATACAGATGTTAACTTTTTTAGTTGTGTGTCAAAGCATTCAATTAACACGCAAAATATTGCTGAACTGAAAATTGCATTGGACAATATTGAGCATAATAAAGAAAAAGAAGTTTGCCACTCTGGTAGCACCATTTCTGTAATCGATAATGAGCCACTTGATTTAGTAATAAGTTCGAAAGAAAGTACACAACGCAGCCATATTTATAATCAGACAGAAGATCGAATCTGTAATTATCCATACTCATCAGTTGGCGATAAAGGGACACCTCTGGTGGATGGTGCCATTTTAAAACAGATAGATCATTCCCCTAATGTACAGAGTTATAACGCAGAGTACAAGAATATAGATTATGGTTTATTGAAACTTTCTGATTTAGATGAGTTGTCATGTAATTCAGGCAGAGATAAAGAATTGTTGAAAACCATCAGTAAGTTGCGTACTAACAGTGAAATAAATGGAAAAACTGTAACAAACGATTTGAAAGAAGAGAGAGCGCATATTTTGGACAAGTATGTCACGCATGTGTTATCACCGCGCTTAAGTAGTGACAGTAAAGCATCGTCTTGGACACAGTCGAATGCCAAATGTAACAATATCAAGAAAGAGTGCTGCACTAAGGAAGAGGCGCACAAGTCAGAAAATACTGATCTGGTGCAATTGACTGCCTGCATCCCAAAATTAAGCAACTGGCCGTGTTTCGAAATGTCAGGACAATATCCAGGTCATAGCCGACCACCGGTTGGCACACCTCCACCGCAAACTGTCTGGAACCATCTCACACAGGGACAAGGTAATTTAAGTTTCCGACTATACCGAGTTACTTTCGCCGTTACATTTTAACATTTTACAACGCTATTCAGTCTTAATATGATAAATAATCATAACGATTGCATTTTCAGCTCTCAATATTCATCCAACTTTGTCTGGTGCCGCATTGAGTACAGCTGGGTTCTACACACATCCATCTATGGCGCGAGCGTCCCATCTACCGACTCAACTTACTCCTCAACTCGCTCATACGCAAGCACCGCCGACATGGCACACGCCTACAGTCCCCTCGAAAAGTGTCATGCCGACTAACACACCGGGCACTCCCTTGTTCAATTTACAAATGCTGGTGGACAATCGGCCACCAAATCAAAATCAATACAGAAATTCGCCTGGCTCCCAGAGTACGCTAGATCTTTCGTCCACGTCGGAGATTCCAGAGAATTATTCTCGAATAACTCAGGATATTCCCATCAGTTTGACTGCAAGAAACGTGGACAAGGGCAGTCGAAACGGTAACATAATCTCACCGCCGATACCGCTGAACGGGGAAACCTCGTCGGACAGCGGAATCAGCTCGTCCGTACCAACACCGAACTCCGTCAGCGAACCGGTCTCACTATCAACGAAAGAGGTTATTACACCTAAAATAACGGTGAAAAACTTTGAGAGCAATCTAAAGGGAGTTGCGAATCTTCACGATAAGATTAAGGAAATAAATGTAGATAATTTTTCGCAGAAAGTGATAAATTTGCCGCCTAGTGTGACGATAGAAAGAGTGATCGCGGACAAGAAGGAGCTCGAAACTCCTGTGAAACCTAAGGACACGCTGAGTGTTATCGCGCAAGTGCCAAGGAATGTCTTACCTGTTATAGTCAATCTCACGTCCAAAATGGAAAAGGACGTCACGGATAGTCCTAAAAGAGAATCTTCCTCCGAGAGAGACAGGAAGCATGACGAAACGAGCGTGAGATCGCCTAAGAATTTGCCGAAGAGAGGAAAAAAGGGTGTCGATTCTCTGTTAGAGAAATTAGAGGGTGGGAATAAGAAGCTCGGGAGTACCGAGAATATCGGTTCAGTGATTGTGATGCCAATAGAGGAGAAGGATACGTCTAGTGTTAAAAGTATGTCACCGGAGAGACAAAAGTCTAAATCGCCGAATCGTGAGGATGAGGTCGTGTCGCCGGCTTTCAGCAATGACGACTCAAACGACAATACCAAGCAGCGAAGGAAAAGAAAACTTGAAAAACCTGTAAGATTGAGTAAAGACTCGAAAACGGAAGTCGAAGATATGGAACTCGAGCCTACCGAACCTACGGAACCGAGAATTATCGATTCGGTGTCGGAAGAGACGGCTAGCTCCGCACCAACGACTGACGTTAAGACCGAGGAACAGATTGCTAGAGGAGCGGAAGAGAGAATATCGGACAAGACAATGGCGGACGAGAATGCGGAAGAAATATCGGAGGAGAATCAGCCGATTCGAAGGCGAAGAAGTAGCGAGGATACTGCGATTAGTAACTTGACGAATCCGGCGAATCAGAGGATACGAAGAAAATCCAGTGACGATGCGTCATCCGAGTTATCCAAAGTGACGAGTCCGAAAAATGCGAACAACACAACGACATCGACAACAACGAATGCCTTCGTTGAGGTCGAGTCAGAACTGGCAAAGATGTTCGCCGGGATCGTGGAAGCGGATTCAGATGTCAAAAATGAAGAATCAAAAGCGGAACTCGCGAGTGTGGAGATTCAGGGCGATAGCGACGCTGCGAAAATCGAAGGTCTCGAAAATAGTTTTCTGTCAGCGACAACGGATTCTCAGAACGTTCAGAACAATCCTATTGACGTTTCCTCCACTGTGGATACAAAGTTGTCGGGGAAGAGGGGTAAAAAGGGCAAGACGCAGGGCAAAAGGAAAATATCCAGGTCGTCGGAGAATATCTTCGGCACGACGAGTGATTCTCTGCCGAAGGAGACGAAGAAGAGGCGGATATCCAAAGGTTCGAAGAAACAGGACCAGGCTTCGAAGAAGGCAAAGAAAAACACCAAAGTCGACGGCCTCAGAGAGATGGCGTACGATTCCGGTTCGAACGCGAGTTCCATCAGATCGCGAGGCCCGGTGGTCCATGTGGAAGGTCCTAGAGACAGTCCGTTGAGTATCCAAGTGGTCAATGCACCGCGGGAAGAAGAGGAGGAGAAAACTAAGGAGAAACGGAAAAGTGTCGGCAACGGAAACGGAGGCCGAAGTAAGAGGCTTAGTCATCAGAACGATTTAGATTATAGAGGTGCGTACATGTGATGGAAAACTGTTTCTACATTTTTGTTACAACTTTAGCAAACAAGATCTACTTTATTACACATTTTTGGTTGTAATTTACCACAGGTAAAGTTAGTAAGGCAGGTCTCTTCAGCTCAACCTTGTCGTCGCGGTACGATGCGCACACCACGGATTCGACCTGGGTCTGTGTATTCTGCAAGCAAGGTCCCCATTCTGTTATACCCGGAGATCCGTCCAGGCCACATCCGAATCTGGCCGGACCACACATTGCAACAGGAACATACACAGTATGTATTTTTTTCGAATGACGACGTTTTAATAGTATATGAACCAGATATTTTAAATTTGCGTCAAGTAAACAATATGTATATTTTCATGATAATTAATTTTTTTTATCTATATAATTATTATACTTTTAACTCCATATATGTTTAACTGATTCTATCATATCGAGCTTAAGTGCTATTTTTATACAACATTAAAGTGATAAAATCAAATATATTTGAGAGCGAAACATTTAGAACTAAATGCCATGCTGTACATGCATAGAAGCGAGAGGTTGCACACTAGCAATACAAATATAAATATGATAAATACTCGTAACAGGTTCCAGCAGGCGTGTTAAGCGACTTATTTGGACCATACTTGATCGGCAAGGAACGGTTGGAGGATGGTATTTTATCGGCCGATGAACAAGAGATTACGACGGAACAAAAGAAAGGCGGTAAGAATAAGAGGAGCTTGAGGTACGCGGGTCTGGCGGATCAATTCTCCGCAAAGATGGGCAAGAAGAAACGTAATTCTATTGAAAGTAATACAAACGCTATCTTCACCGGTATGACTCTCCTCCCTGGTGGAGAAGAGCAACGATGGGAAGTATGGCTTCACGAACAATGTGCGGTATGGGCAGCTGGAGTTTATATGGCAGGTAAGACATCACAAATAATGGAAATACATGTAAAACAGTAAGAAAGTAAGACAGTGGAGTAGTATATGAATATTAAATGAATAATGAATACGAAAAATGTGTTTTGGCAGGCGGCAGAGTGACAGGATTGCAAGAAGCGGTATGGGATGCCGCCAAGTCAATATGCGACTCCTGCGGCTTGACGGGTGCGAACATTGGTTGTGTGAAACGAGGTTGCAAGGCTGTTACGCATTATCCATGCGCATTGACGAAAGGTTGGCATCTCGACACAAATCAGTACATACCTAAGTGTAATCTTCATCGAGTTACGTGAAACTCCGGTGAGTCTGTGAACATAGGCTAATGTGAAAATTAGGTCGTATTCACATTATATCACATTGAAAACCGGCTTTAATTAGATGCACCGACTAAAGGGCAATAATGTAAGAGACTAAGTATATAAATCCGTTTTTATGACTGAAGATAGCCTTACTAGTTAGTAAGGTATATTCTAGTTGACAAAGCGCAGGAGCAAAACATCTTCATGATACAATCACTTGATGTGTAATAAAGTTACAAGGTTGATTGGAATATAATAACAGATGCGGAAAAGAATGATATAATTGATGTAACTATAAATAGATAAAATCTAACAAATGGTTGATTCGATATTCTATCTCCTTTAATAGATATAAATTTATCTTGTTTAATGAAATAAATGTGAGATGTTTTGAAATTACGCTTTGTATCATTCAACTTGTAAGTGTGTATCTGGAGCGTGAAAGTATAAATGTGAAAGCAGTTATACTAATTTCCAGACATCAAGTGTAGAATCAATATGCTCGAGAAAAATACTTTCCAATGTACAAGATGTTTAAACAACAACGCTATTAACTGTCTGAGAATTAAAAAAAAAAAAAAAAAGAAAGAAAGAAAAAAGAAAAAATAAATGACGAACGAAAGTGAAGAAATAGAAACTCTTCTCAATTATTGAATTTAACTGATTTTCTTGGCCTGTGGCCTTGAACAGTGGCCTTTTCGACTTAATATAAAAAAAGCAAGATTTTTTTAATTTTGAATCTGTAGAATAGACGGATCACTATCGAGGAATAATGATAATCAAAAAGGAAGGCGTTTGCTTTTTTATTCACATTTACGAAAAAAACATTACAAATTTTCTTAATAACATCATGTACGCAGGAATACATAAATAGGGCATATTGTACTGAATGTTATCGAATTCAAAATTTGTAAAATGTGGCAGCCATCAAAATTGGATATGTTTAAATGCAGTAAGATGAGTAAGTTCAAGTAACATATAAGTGAAAATTGAATATCCTCTGTGTTTTTTTTTTCACGAAGCTCGAGCATGTAAGACAAGTGTTCTCTAGTGGATGTAAAAAAAGAAAAACTTTGTATATATAAAAAAAATAAAGAAATTATACATATTATTGAAACATTATGATTCAAGATTTTACTAGGGGTTTAAAAATTTTTTATTTATTATTCTCATGAGAATACATGCATGTGTTTCATAATAGAATTGTTGTGTGTAATTAATGTATTTTATTTTCTTTTGTTTGTGTGTCTACATGAATTATTATCTATACATGTGACTGTCCATGTAAAGTTCAATCATTTTTTGTTACATTTTTATTGATATTTTTTTGTAAAGATGCTTTATCACGCAGATTTTAATTTTTGCATGTTATAAATCGACAATTTCTTGAAGAAAAATATTTTTATGCTTGGATAGAACTAAATGATTAAGATGAGAACACTTGTAAAACTTTATTATCTCTGTAATTCTAATGTAATAAGAAAGAACAAAGACCATACGTCTCATTGCATTCAATGGTACGTTTTGTACATCGTCATACTCACTGTCATTTTACTAATGCATCTGTATGGTCGTAAAACCAATGATTCAAATCCAACGTTCTACATGTATGATTTACTGTTAGTGATTAAATTGACAGCTATATGTATTATTACGTTTTTTCATATTAATATTGTGGTCATCTTTGCTGTCATTGTTGTTGTCATCATCGTTTCCATTGTACTTTATCAGAGCGTGAGAGAGACAAGTTTTTGCTATGATAAATGTAAGAACATTAACAAGCGATTTTTTTGCTGCATCAAGAAGAACTATATAGCAAAAATCAGGAAAATTGTATAAAAATAATATTATATAGAATAATGTATACAATGTGTACATAATATTAATTTGCATAGAGGAAAAGATATATATACATATATAGATTACATATGTGTGTGTATATATATATATATACATATATATACACACATAGCACACAATATACACATCAAGTATATATATTGAAAATAGTTGTCACATCTTTTCCCACAGCACAGAGTATGATATAAATTAGATATAATCATTTTCAAATAGTAACTATATATTCGGAAATGGAGATAAAATTATTGAGCGTAAAAAGATTCTTTGTACATATATAGTGCATAGTAACAAATGTAAAAAATATCTCTGAAAAAATTTTATTTAGAGACTCATATTAACTGTTTCGAAAAAATAATAATAAAAGATATGACACGTTTACACTTCGAGAAAAAGTACACAAAGCCTAATTTTCTTTTCACGACACTTTTCGAGACATCACTTTCGACGCCTCTCGGTATTAAAACGGTCTTTGTATAAAACGGATGCGCGCGGATACAGCCAAAAAAGAATACTACTTAGATAACTATAATAAGAGAGATATTGAATTGTAAACGAAACGCTTATACTCTACAATTGTGTATGAAAAAGGGAAACAAAAATTTTATCGTAGAAAAATAATTGTAAAAAAAAATATATATATCTATATATATTAATCTTATTACTTGTGATACAAAAAAAAGAAAGAAGACAAATTCCGTAGTGAAATGGTCCGACGAATGAGATATTCCAATCATTTTTTCCATCGTCGAACGACT